ACTGGACCAAATTAGACAGAGGTATGTTGAGAGATTATTTTTGGGCTTTTAAGTGTGAGTGTCTTGGAGGACTTTAACATTTTTAGCCGAGTCAAACTATTTTACTTAAACTTCCAGAAAAATTAGCCTGGTGGTGTTTTTAGAGGGATTTGGGGTTATACAACCTATATGAAAATTGTCTTTTTGTGAAATTTTGATTGTATGAGTCTGTTAATATTAAAGATATAAAAGACAGGAATCTAATTTCCTCAAAGCAGTACAGAACTCAGCAGTGTGGTATTGACTGTAGCCTACTGTTTGCTAGATACTGGAGGTACAGGTGATATTAGTGGTTGAAGAGCTCATGGTGGAGGTAGTGTGACCGCTGCTATAGATTTGACTGCCTAATAGTCACTTAAAACAATAAATGGTTTAGGCTGGGCACAGTGGCTCATGCCTGTAATCGCAACACTTTGAGAGGCTGAGGTGGTAAGAATCTGAAGCCCAGGAGGTCGAGGCTGCAGTGAGCTGTGATTGGACCACTGCACTCCAACCTGGGTGACAGCGAGAACCTGAACAAAAAAAACACAATGAATAGTTTAAACAGTAGTTAAACCAAACCTACAAGAAAGCTTTGCCGAGGGTAAGAAATGTGCTCTCATCTTTTAAATCAATCTGCATGCGTATTCTTTTTTCCTTCCTTCCTGATGCAACAAAGTGTCCTTTCTTCCATCAAAGCCAGTCGCTCTACAGTAAGTGTTCCAGAATCTGTTTCCTTCTGCTCTAGAGCCTTGTCTTTGATTATTCTTTCATACCTACTAATTATGCTCTTTCCTGGAATCTTCATGTGGCTCTTTTGTCCCTTCAGGCTTCTTCGTACATCCTCCTGCTGTAGGTACTCCCTATCCTACATCCTTACAGCCAGATGTCATGAGTGATTTACTACACAAAACTTTTCTAGTGCTTTTCTTCTCATCCCTTTTCAGCCCTGTTCTCCATTTGAGGGACTGCATGTTAAGGTCTCTAGTGTGAAATTCGGAAGACATTTTCAACCTTCCTCTTACTTGACCTTTAGCAACCCTTTGATTACGTCCTTCTTGAAATGCTTTGTGATACTGCTTTGTCTGGGCCACCATCTCACAATATTCTCCAGAATAGCCCCTTGTTCCCATGACTTCATGTATTATCTCTCTATGCCAGAGACTGTTTAAGCTGTTTCTCTGAGCTCCAAAGTCACACACCTCTATCTAACAGAATGCTTTTCAAGCATCTCAAAGTAAACATGTCTCTGAACTTGTGATAATACCGCAAATCTGCTCTTGACCATTTTAGTGATGGGGACTTCTCCACACAGGCAGAAAACTAGGAAATGTCCTTAACTCCTCCTTTTTACCAACACCTTTTCTCCAAATCTGTCACCAACACCACTTGATTTCTACTTCCAAATTAAATTTACCTATATTTCATTTTCTTGCCTACACTGTTGTAGAAACACACCCAAGCTAGTCTCTTAGAGAAACTTTCCTTTCTTCTTCAATCTAAATTATATTCTTTTGTAACTTCCTGTATTTTAATCTTCCTGGGGCTTACTACAGTTTTCACTGTGGGTTTATACAACTCATGAATTGTAAGCTCTAATGGTAGAGACAGAATGATTCCATTGGCATCGTAGCCCCATCCTTAGTACAGTGTATAGCACACAGTACTTGTTCAGTAGATAAGCTGCCTTTGAGGTTGATCTGTAATTCATTTTACTTTAAAAATTATTCGAATGATCTATTCACATGGCTTCACTCATATTGTCTCTTCAAATCTGTATCTCCCATAGTTTGTGGTTTCCATGATGTTAAGTGACTACCTCCTGGGAGCTTCATCTGAGTAACAACAGAGACTTCAAACTTAATGTTGTCCCAAACTGAACTCTGATTTCCCATCCTGCCCCCCAAACTGTTGCTATTTATTTTACTCCAGGAGTCACCCAAGCCATTAAGTTTGACTTCTGTTTAGGTTGTCTGTCAGCTTATATCTCATGTTACTATCTCCTTGTCTTAAGCCATTCAGTGCAATTTCCACATTGATACCAGGGAATCCTTTTGAAAACGCAGATAACGTTATACTAGTCTTGCTTAAAAATGTTAAGCTTCTTAGTATCTAGACTGTTTGGTGTAACCTACAAGGTTTTTCACTTTTCTGGTTCTATCTTCTTTTGCGCTTCCAACTCTGGACTCCTGGTGTTTTTTTGTTTTTTTTTTTTGAGAAGGAGTTTTGCGCTTGTTGCCCAGGCTGGAGTACAGTGGCACGATCTCAGCTCACTGCGACCTCTGCCTCCTGCGTTTAAGTGATTATCCTGCCTCAGTCTCCTGAGTATCTGGGATTACAGGCGCCCACCACTAGGCCCGACTAATTTTTTGTATTTTTAGTAGAGAGTGTGTAATCGTGTTGGCCAGGCTAGTCTCAAACTCCTGACCTCAGGTGATCTGCCCACTTCAGCCTCCCAAAGTGCTGGGATTACAGGTGTGAGCCACTGCACTCGGCCTGGACTCCTCTTGACTTCATTATCGGCCTCCTAGGCTAAATTTATGTTTTTTATGTGCTTGTAGTGTCTCTGCATACCACTTCAGTGACGCTTGCCCTGGAGTGTGATTGGTAATCCCTCTCCCCACTGGATCCTTGAAGGCAGGCAGGACCTGTGTTCCCTGTTTTACCATAGTTCTCGATTAGTAATTCAAATTCAGGTTGGGGAGAGCTAAGTGGTAATTTTTAATTCCTTCTAATATTCCATGAATTGGACTAATGTAAATTCTGGTCAGAGATAACAAAGGTTAATACAATTTAGTCTATGATTATCTTGTGATAAATACTTAATGGAAGTTAAAGCTAAATTATTTTTAAAAATCACAGAAGGTAACTCTGGGTTACAAAAATACTTTGCAGAGAATCAGATATCACCAAGGAGAGAATTCAGAAGATCCTGGCGACTGGTGCCAATGTTATTCTAACCACTGGTGGAATTGATGATATGTGTCTGAAGTATTTTGTGGAGGCTGGTGCTATGGCAGTTAGAAGAGTTTTAAAAAGGGACCTTAAACGCATCGCGAAAGCTTCTGGAGGTATGTCTTGTGCTGGCTGTCACGTAAAAGACTTTCATTATACCTGACCCCATCAAAGGTCTGTTTACATTGGAATATTGATAAGAAACAGCTTCAAAAACGTTTATATTCTCTTAATGCTTTGTGCTGCCAACACATTTATAGAGCCATTTTTCATGTAACTGGAGAAATTCATTAAGTTTGTTGGAAATTCATGAACTGAATTTGTTCACTTCAAAAATGACATAGTTCTATCTTAGGATAAAAGGAGTTAGTGTGTGCTGCCTAACTAAATTCTAAACTTGTAATGTAGCACTTTTATCACAAATGCTACTGAGTCTAAAGGATATTAAAATCACGAAAGAGCGATACTTACAGATCCCTTGTAACTCTTAATAGCAACTATTCTGTCAACCCTGGCCAATTTGGAAGGTGAAGAAACTTTTGAAGCTGCAATGTTGGGACAGGCAGAAGAAGTGGTACAGGAGAGAATTTGTGATGATGAGCTGATCTTAATCAAAAAGTAAGAGCTACTTTCTAAAATTGTAAAGTTATACAGATTTTGTTAAGTAAAAGTAGGTTTTCTTCCCATTTATTTGCTGCTTGTAGTCTCACAGTGATATGAGCAGTTATACGCGTGGGATAAAATAACATTGGGTCACTGTGAATTGAGATGAAGTAACCATTTTCATCTCTTCTGCATAGACTAGACATTGTTTCTGTATAGTGTATCTAAATATCCTGTGTAGGCAGGACTTAAGGGCACTTATGTAGACTTATTAAAATGCCACTTTTTGGAGAAATTGATGGTATTGGAAAAAAAAAACATTTAAAAAATGCTGTTACAAGAATTTCACTTTTTTTTTTGAACAGCACTAAGGCTCGTACATCTGCATCGATTATCTTACGTGGGGCAAATGATTTCATGTGTGATGAGATGGAGCGCTCTTTACATGATGCACTTTGTGTAGTGAAGAGAGTTTTGGAGTCAAAATCCGTGGTTCCCGGTGGAGGTGCTGTAGAAGCAGCCCTTTCCATATACCTTGAAAACTATGCAACCAGCATGGTAAGAACAGTTATTCCTTGTCTTAGAGGCCCTAGAGCAGTAGCTGTGGGCTTTAATTTTTTTCCCCTTTTGTGAAGTCACCTAACTGTCCTTTTTTCCTAGGGGTCTCGGGAACAGCTTGCTATTGCAGAGTTTGCAAGATCACTTCTTGTTATTCCCAATACACTAGCAGTTAATGCTGCCCAGGACTCCACAGATCTGGTTGCAAAATTAAGAGCTTTTCATAATGAGGCTCAGGTTAACCCAGAACGTAAAAATCTAAAATGGTAAGCATACAATTTCCCTCTTTTTAGACATCTTTTTAGCCCTTTGTTAACCTCTGCAAAACAGTTTCCATTAAAAAGGATAGTAGTCAGTTACATGTCAGCAAACATAAATAACAGACTTGTCAACTACTTAACATGAAAAACTTCACAGCAAGCATTTGTTGTTAGTCACTGTAATTCAAGGGATAATGACTAATTATTAGCACTGGTGTGCCTTAGTTAACAACTCTGATTGCTAATCTCTCCCTGCTGCTTTGGGTAGAAAGACAACCTACAAGATCTCTAGTCTGACTTAAAAATCAAGCTTAATACTTGAATGAAATGCTGGAGTTAATGGGTCACCTAATTAAGTTGTAAGCGGCCATTTTAATAGTTCTTTCTTAATTGCAGGATTGGTCTTGATTTGAGCAATGGTAAACCTCGAGACAACAAACAAGCAGGGGTGTTTGAACCAACCATAGTTAAAGTTAAGAGTTTGAAATTTGCAACAGAAGCTGCAATTACCATTCTTCGAATTGATGATCTTATTAAATTACATCCAGAAAGTAAAGATGATAAACATGGAAGTTACGAAGATGCTGTTCACTCTGGAGCCCTTAATGATTGATCTGATGTCTCTTTTATTTATAACAATGTTAAATGCAATTGTCTTGTACCTTGACCTAAGTATTACACATTAAAGTACAACAAGCTGTAAACTTGGGTTTTTGTGATATAGGAAATGGTTTCCATCTGTGTTTTGGTCCTCTGATTTCACATATAACAACCTAGTACTTTATTAGTTTAAAAAGAAATTGAGGTTGTTCAAAGTTTAAGCAATTCATCCTCTCTGAACACACATTGCTATTCCCATCCCACCCCCAATGCACAGGGCTGCAACACCACGAATTCCGCCCGTTCTCTCCAGTGTGTGTAACAGGGTCACAAGAATTCGACAGCCAGATGTTCCAAGAGGGTGGCCCAAGGCTATAGCCCCTCCTTCAATGTTGACCTAAGGGGGAGAAAAGATTTAGATTGTTTATTCTTCTGTGGGCACAGTTTAAAATCCTAAACTTGTCTTTTTCCTCTTAATGTATCAGCATGCTACCCTTTCAAACTCAAATTTTCATTTTAACTGTTTAGGAATAAATTTACACCTTTGTGAAAATTCATCCCTGCCTATGTTACCTTATTCTTTTTATGCCAAGTAAGCTTTTTTTTTTTTTTTTTTAACCATGGGAAGTAACAAAATACGTGAACTCAGTCCTAGTAACTAGTATTTCTTTATTACCCACATGGCCAACACCTGGAAGATAGTATCTTAAAATAGCATTGTGAAATTCACTGGTAAGCACTCAGGGTTACTTGTGCATCTTTACCTTCTGTGGGTTTAATCCAAGTTCTTTAACTATTGCAACAGAGAGGGCTGCAAAGGCTTCATTGATTTCAAATACATCAACATCCTCCAGTGACCAACCTGCTTTTGTAACCTAGAAGACAGATTCATAGAAAAGATGTCTAAACTGGGGTGGAAAGGCCAAAACATCCTTTGTCAACATAAATATGAAATATGCTGCATGATACTGATCTCTTAATTGCTACTTTTCGTTTGTTCTTAGGTTAATACAGTGACATTCTCACACATTTTTGCCTTAGTGATACCCATTCCATCCAGAAGGTTAAGGATGTGATCTAAAAGATCCCTTAGAAATTCTAAATTGTCTTAAATTTTGAACCAGTAGCATCTGTTATATGTATCTAAGGGTAATGTAACAGAATCAGTTCCCCTAAAAAGCATATGATCTAAATGCTTTCAGTGGCTGGGGGTATTGGCTCACACCTGAAATCTCAACACTTGGGGAGCCTAAGGCCAGAGGATCACTTGAACTGAGAAGTTCAAAACTAGCCTGGGCAACATAGTGAGACCTTGTCTCTACAAAATTAAGAAGTTAGGCATGGTGGTGCACCTGTAGTTCAAGGTAACTTGGGAAGCTGAGGCAGGAGGAATATTTGAGCCCAGGAGTTTTGAGTCTGCAGTGAGCTGTGATGATGCCACTGCACTCCAGCCTGGACAACAGAGCAAGACCTTGTGTCAAAAATAGAAATAAATGCTCTTGGTTACTCTTCTGGTAGGGAAAGGTAACTACATGAATAAGCTCATTTAAGGCTAACAGGAAGACAAATTTCATAAAGGGGAACAGGGTTATACTCACAGCTTGCTTTATGGCTGGAATTGGTCCTATTCCCATAATGGAAGGCTCCACACCCACTTGGGACCAGGAAACTATTTGTGCTAAAGGTGTAAGCCCACGTTTATCAGCTTCTGACTTCTTCATAAGAACCACAGCTGCAGCACCATCATTTATTCCTGTAAAATATGAGTGACTTGATTTCTACAGTGCTTATTAACTTCAGTTACATATCTGTGTCTTTACCACCTGAAGACATGAGCTAAATGATTTTACCTGTTGGCTAAGGCATTTACTGTAACTGAACAGACTTTATACACAGAAATCATGTTTGGCAATTATAGTGACCACAAAACTTTCCAACTAGAGAAAGTGATAGGATTATAGTAGTCAGGGCTGGGCGTGGTGGCTCACGCCTGTTATCCCAGCACTTTGGGAGGTGGAGGAGAATGGATCACCTGAGGTCAGGAGTTTGAGACCAGCCTGGCCAATATGGTGAAACCTGTCTCTACTGAAAATAGAAAAATTAGCCAGCGTGGTGGCGTGTGCCTGTAGTCCCAGCCACTCAGGAGGCTGAGACAGGAGAATTGCTTGATCCTGGGAGGCCGACGTTGCAGTGAGCCAAGATTGCGCAACTGCACTCCAGCCTGGGCGACAGAGCAAGACTCCGTCTCCAAAAAAAAAAAAAAAAAAAAAATTTAAAAAAAAAAAAAAAAAAAATTACAGCAGTTGGGGAGGAGAGATCTCTGACAGGAAATGGAAGAATAAGCCTGGGCCTCACAAGGAAGTATTGGGAGTTTCTGGTACTGGAAAAATACAAAGGTAGATAAACTTAAGTTCCCTAATTTACTTCTTCATTTGCAAGTCTAGTTGGGATGTCAAGAAACCAAATTAATTCTTTCAGTATAGGTTAAGTCAATGATCAAATACAGAGAAATGATATATTTCCTTAAACTGTTTTAAGAATAATTTTGTATATAAATATGAGTTGGGTGTGGTGGCTCATGCCTGTAGTCCCCCAGCTACTTGGGAGGTTAAGGCAGGGGCTCACTTGAGCCCAGCCAGGAGTTTGAGACTGCGAGTGAGCAAAGATCATATCGCTGCACTCCAGCCTGGCTGGCAGACTGAGTCCCTGTCTCAAAAAAACAGTACTTTTGTATATAAATAAAGAGAAAAATATTCACTTGGTAGACCTTATAGAACGTAGTATTCCCCCAGATGAAGTATTTCCTTCAGAAAATCTAACCTGAAGCATTGGCTGGGGTGACGGTTCCCGTTCCATCGGTAAGAAAGTAAGGCTTTAGCTTGGACATGTCTTCTATGTTGCTCCCATGGCGAGGAAACTCATCTGTTTTAACTTCAATAAGACCTAAACAAAGGAAAACCAATTACTCAAGATTAGTCCAGGGACAGAAGTGTGCTGGGAATGGTGGGTTTCTCTGACAAGAAACATGCGGATTCATATTTAGCAGAAAAGTTTTAATATATAACCACTTTGATTACAACAGGAGGAAAGTACACACAAGAATTATTGTACATGAAAACAATGTATGAGTATGTCCTTATAAGACACCTGTGTGTTTGCCAAATCCATAGGCCTTCCTGAGGAAAGTAGCTACCAGGGACCTGTTTGTGCCAAATTCTGCTATGGTTTGGGTCATAGTACTTGACTGGTTACAAGTGAGTGGATCAGGGAGTCTCAAAGTCAATCCTGCACTGCTGGCTGGACATAAGAGATGTCAGTTATCAATAAGGGAGCTTGATGGAAGCACTCTGTATTAGAAAATAGCAAGTGACCCCAAAAGAGCCACCCTTTAGAAATGGGAAAGGGAGATCACACAGAAGCAGCGAGAAGTAATGGGTGTCCACTTCTGAGGAGGTTGAGCCTCTACAGGAAACAGGTCAGCTGGTGCCTCCTAACAACCATGAGCCAGTGCTCCAGTGTCTCATGAAACCTGCTGTATGTGCACAGCAGTCATGGACACTCTGGAACCAAGGGTGCCTGAGTGCTGACACAGTTCCCATGTTACCGTGTCCTGTAAACCCAGCATACCCCCTCCCTACCTTCATGTATCCAGGACATATCTTTGCAACCTGAAAAATATAACTAAGATATAATTTCTAAAGATTCCTATGTATTACTCTTTTAGATGTTACTCTTACCTATAAATAGGTTGATGTTTAATTAAACCATTATGATATACTCACCTTTTCTAGATGACACCAAAACTGGTACAATCTCTTTGTCAAAATGGCCAGCTTTCTGTGCATTCTCTGTCCTATTCTGAGACAGAACTGCAACCTTGTCCTGATCTTCTCTACTCACTTGCCATTTTTTGGCTACATTTTCAGCTGGGAAAGGAGAAAAAGAGCAAAAACCCAACATTTTCATGAACTGGCATTTGATAGATCAAGTTGCCCATATTTGACCAAGCGCTGACTGACCACACATGCTAGCAGGCTCATGGTGGCCTGTGCAATGCTCTGTGTGGGCTGGCCCTGCCTGCCACCGACAGTGGGTCTAGAAGTGTTGCAGAGACTCTCAGGAGTCATACTTCTCTCCTTCCCTTTCTATATAATTGTAAACTTAACAGACATTTCCTTCACCTAGAGTCACCAGGTATACTTCCCCTCTGTTTCCTTTAACATTTTCTTTCTGAACCATTTGAGAGAAAGTTGGAGATACAATGCCTTTTTACTCTTAAATTTTAATTTTAGTGTATACTTCCCCAAAACAAGGCCACTTCTTTACATAAGCACAGTTATAAAACTCAGGAAATTGGGCGAAGTGTGGTGGGTCACACCTGTAATCCCAGCACTTTGGGAGGCTGAGGCAGTAGGATCACTTGAGCCCAGGAGTTTGAGACCAGCCTGGGCATGGTGAGACTCCATCTCCATTAAAAATAAACTTATCTGGGCACGGTGTGTGTGCCATGTAGCTAGCAGTCCTAGCTGCTTGGGAGGCTAAGGCAGGAGGATCACTTGGGCCTAGGAGTTCAAAGCTGCAGCAAGCCATGATCGCGCCTCTGTACTCCAGCCTGGGTGACCCCGTCTCACAAAACAAAACAAAAATCAGGAAATTTAACATGAATCAAACACTATTATCTAATCTTTGGTCCACATTCAAATTTCACCTATTATCCCAGTAATGTCCTTCTAGCTCCTTTATTTGTTCAGTCCAGGAGCCAATAAAGAAGTATGCATTGTACTCAACTACCAATCTCTCTAGTTTGCTTTTATCTGTAACAGTTCTTCAGACTATGCTTCCTAAGCTTGATATTTTTGAAGAACACGGCCCAGTTCTTTTGTTAAGGATATCAATTTTGATTTGTCTGATGTTTCCTCAGGATTAGATTAAGATTCTGCCAAAAGGGAGGTATACCACTGAATGATAGTATGCTTTTTCTCAGTGTATCTTTTTTCTTTTTTTTTTTGAGACGGAGTCTGGCTCTGTCACCCAGGCTGGAGTGCAGTGGCGTGATCTCCACTCACTGCAAGCTCCACCTACCGGGTTCACGCCATTCTCCTGCCTCAGCCTCCTGAGTAGCTGGGACTACAGGCGCCCGCCACCAGGCCTGGCTAATTTTTTTATTTTTAGTAGAGACAGGGTTTCACTGTGTTAACCAGGATGGTCTCGATCTCCTGACCTCGTGATCTGTCCGTCTCGGCCTCCCAAAGTGCTGGGATTACAGGCTTAAGCCACCGCGCCTGGCCTTCTCAGTGAATCTTATTAGGACATAAATGACAATCAGTTTATCCCAGGTGATGTCATCTTTGATCACTTGGTTAAAACAGTTTGGTATTCACCAGGTTTCTAGCTTTTAAAGGTACCATTTTTTCATTTATAAGTAATCAATAATTTATGGGAGGCTCTTTTTAGATTATCAAAATATATTCTTCCGCATCATATTTTCACCCACTAGTTTTAGCATTCATTCATGATTTTCTAACTCCAACATTCCTTCTATTGGTAAGGTATTAATTGCATTTTACCATAAAAAAAAGCTGTTCCTTTTCTCCCATTTATTCAGTTATTTATATCAGGATGGACTCATACATTTTCATTTTATTGAACAAGTTATAACTCATTACTATCATTACTTACTTTGATGCTGAAATTGTTCAAAACTTGGGCAGTTATAACCCATTAGTATCATTACTTACTTGCATGCTCAAATTGTTCAAAATTTGGGCAGTTATAACCCGTTACTATCATTACTGACTTTGATGCTCACATTGTTCAAAATTCCACTACAGGAAAGTGGAAGCCCTGTAGGCCGCCTCCTGTGTACTTTCGACATGTCCCCGAGCATGTCCTTAATTTTTTAGCATTTTTTCCCCAGCCTTGGAAAATTTGGTCATTTCTCCAAACAACCTTAGTTCCTTTTAGTGGAGAAATGTTTTTAGAAGATCTGGGTGTCAGGACCGCTTGTTGTGAATGGTTTGTCATTGTTTCTAGGTCTCTTCAGTAGAAACTTCCATATGTGTAATTTATAATTTTACATATGCACACACACTCACCTTGAGTTCATACTGCATTTTGAGTTCTCCAAAATGCAACCTCACACCACAAGCTACATTCTTCTCTCTTTCCATATTTGTAACTCTCTTCTACAAATGTGAGAATTGGTCAGGTGTGGTGGGTCACACCTGTAATCCTAGCACTTTGGGAGCCTGAGGCAGGAGGATCCCTTGAGCTCAGGAGTTTGAGGCCAGCCTGGGCAACATGGTGAAACCCTATTTCTACAAAAAGTACAAAAAATTAGCCAGGCATGGTGGTGTGCACCTGTGGTCCCAGCTACTCAGGAGGCTGAGGTGGCTCAGGCGGTTGCAGTGAGCCAACATTGAGCAACTGCACTTCAATCTGGATGACAGAGTGAGACCCCTGTCTCCACCAAAAAATAAAAAAGTTATTGCTTTGCGTTCCATGTCTTGTCTTTACTTACCAAGCTATTGTTCCTCTTTTTTTTTTTTTTTTTTTTGGATGAGGACTCACTATGTTGACCAGGCTGGAGTGTAGCAGCTACTAACAGGCAAAATCACAGTATACTACACAACCTCAAACTGCTGGCCTCAAGTGATCCTCCCACCACAGCCTCCCTAGTAGCTGGGACTATAGGCACCTGCCACTGCACCCTATAAAAGCTATCATCTATAAAATCTCCAGTTCACCTCTCCCTTGCAGCTGTTTTCTACTAGGCCTTATAAGCTGTTATCTACAAGTTTAGTATTTGAGCAAAGACTTAAGGGGACCCTTCTGCAGATTTCTGGGGTTCTTTTTTTCTTCTCCCCCTTATTCTGCCCCACAAACTCCAGCCATCTCAGAAGCCTCAAATTCTCTGCCTCTTCAGATCACTGAGACCACTGTTCCCAGCTTAGGCTCTGCCTCTCCATAAGTTTGGGAAGTCTCCCAGGTAGAGACAGTGACAGTGGGGTTTTCCTTTCTCTCAAGATCTCAGTCTTACATGAGTATTAGTCAAAACCTGAAAGCAGTGGCTTCATATATTTTCACAAATTTTATGTTTGTTTATAGTAGGAAGTCTAATCTTTGTCAATTACTCCATCATGACCTGAGCTTTTTTTTTTTTTTCTTCTCTAAACGAGCAATTTATTTTCTCACAGTTCTGGAGGCTGGAAGAGTACAATTCAATCCACAGTACACCTTGGAAAGGGCTGGGGATCAGCATTTTTAATGACCACCTCTAGTTATGGTTGAGGCAGTTGGTCAAACAGTATCTTCCACGGTCTGCTTGTGTTCTCATAGCCTTCTCCGTTGTGGCTCTAAATTGAGAAGTGGCCAAGATGCCTTGAGCTTCTCACTGCTTCCCATTTCTCTAAGCCCTTCCTTCCTTCCTTGCATTCATGCACACAGTTCCCTCTTCTTGGAATCTTGTACTTTTCCCCATTACCTTTTTCATGTATTTATATGTTACATGGAACCAGAACCACCGCTGCAAGCATTGGAGCAAGGTGCTTAAGTCCTCAGGGTTTGATTCTTTAACTCTAAAATGTCTATTCTGTTTCCTAACTTTTACATGGATACTAAAGAAATGAGTTCCTTTGATTTCCCAGTTGCTTTGCCATTAAACCTAGACCACAGGACCCTTCAACATGAATGACCAATAACCCAACTGTATAGTACAAAAAATACAGTTAGGTATCAAAAACAAAACAAAACAAAACAAAAACAAAAACTGGTTTATCTCTGTTACTACCTCTCACTATCTGTGGGCCCTGTTCCTTCATTTGGTAAAATGACGGGGTGATCCAGAAGAACTCTGAGGTACTTCCCACTTCTAACATTCTCTGATCATCAAGGGTTCACAAAGAAGAGAATACTCACTTCACTTCAGTTAATCAAAGAAGAGATACAAATATCCTTAAGACAGTCTCTGGCGATAAGGATGAAAGCACCTAAGAAGCAGATTATTATATGGTCTTTTTAACCTTTTCAAAGTGAATATAGTTTCAGCTATGTCTGCCTTACCTGTAATACCCATATGATAGTTGTGAAATGCATCTGTAAGACCATCACAGAGTATACTGTCAGTCAGCGGCATCTCACCTATCTTTACTCCTGTTCTCAAGTGAGCCAGGTGAGGAGCCTAGAAGTCAGAAATAAAAATGGATTTAGGCTTAGTTGTAATTAGTCTTTTCCCCAGAACACAACTCAAAACTATCTAATATTTCCTAAGTCTTCATCTAGGTCCCTTTGCAGCCCTTCTCCCCAGTTCCAGGTTCTCAGCCAGGCCAGGGTCTAAAGACCCCTGGAATTAGCAGACTTCATCTTTCCTGTTGTTGGGAACCATTAGTCCCCTACCTACCCATTTCCAATTCTCCCTCAAAACTACCCATTCTGTGTCCTGTTTCCTTAAGAGTCCCATTTATTCTTTCCATCGAGGCAATTAATTATCTGTTAAATGAAGAAACCTTCTAAGGGCTTAAGTAAAGCCAGCAATGTGTTACCCGTTTTAATGGATATGATATCTACAGTGAGAATAACCAGGCTGCCTAACTAAATGATGGGGAGGGATTTCTGAGTAGCGGCCAGTCTTAACTCTCACCAACTCAATCGCAGGTATATTAGAATGGAAAGAGTTATTGATGGGACTTACAGTGGGAAGAGTTGTATTTGAATGCTGGCTCTGGGCCTCAGTTTCGTAACCTGTAAACTGGGAATGATATCATCTACCCTATATGGGGATGTTGTGAATACATGTACAAGAGCACCTGGTAAAGTGCTACACAGATGTCAGTGTCATCCTAGTAAAATCATTCCGATTATTTTTGCTACCATTAGCCTGCCTCCTCCTGAACCTCAGCAATGGCTGGGCTGAATCAGCTTCTATCTAGGGAATGTGCTGCTCTCCTGAACCTCAGCAATGGCTGGGCTGAATCAGCTTCTATCTAGGGAATGTGCTGCTCAGCCCCTGAGCTGCCTCAGTAGGACGGAGGGAATATACTTTTTCTTTCAACTGCTATGCCAGTTTGAGGTATAGAACTTGGTGAAATAACTCGTGCCTGGCAAACCTACTGGAGAAGGGCACCACTTGGTGGTCCTCTTTTCCATGTTCTATACCCTGAAAAGGTCAAAACAGTCTGGTCCCCAGGATCTCCTTGTCACGTGCAGGCAGGTAAGTGGCAACATTTGTTTTTTGCCTTTTACTCACAATGGGAAAGAAATTTAAAACCAAGGACCTCAAGCAACTAATATTATGAATTTAATTCAGAAAATATTATATGCTTCATTAATAGTTTAGAAAAAGTATATTGGATTCCAATCACACTGGTTGATAAACTTTTTCATCAACCTGGATTTCCCACCCAAACTGAAGAATAATGCACATCAAGTATGGATCAAGGTTGTCATTTCCATGCATTTGTTCACTGGTTCCAGCTTTGATATGCATCAGTTTACTCTGTTCTGGCACAGACATGAGTTTCCTGGTGTGAGGTCAGTGAAAGCCATCTCATCAGAGAGGCCTTACCTTGCTCATATTTTCCATGCCTCCGGCAACCACAATGCTGGAGTCTCCTATCCCTATTGACTGGGCTGCAAGGCACACAGCTTTTAGGCCTGACCCACAGATCATCTGGCAGCTCCATGCTGGCACAGAGTAGGGAATTCCTGCACCCACACTGGCTTGTCTAACAGGATTCTGCCCACAGCCTGGAAAGAGGAACACAGAGGAACACAGAGAACTCTTAGCAATCAGGGAGAAAGACAAAATGTCACAGTGAAAGTGTGTGTAAAATTACCAGTTGGGTTACCTGCCACTTCTGAAAGCCTACAGGTCAGGTAAGTGCCCACTGGAGGCAAAAAGGCCTGTCTACAATCTCCAGCTGTCATACTCTAGCCCTTAAATATATACTGTCTTGTGCTGCTCTGTAGGTATTTCATAGATATAAGCTTTCTCCTCCATAAAGAAGTCATTAATACCTTAAGAAAGAAGTGTCATCCTCATCTTTTGATAGGTTTTAAATAGCCAGGCGCGGTGGCTCACGCCTGTAATCCCAGCACTTTGGGAGGCCAAGGAGGGCAGATCACCTGAGGTTGAGAGTTCGAGACCAGCCTGACCAACATGGAGAAACTCTGTTTCTACTAAAAATACAAAATTAGCCAGGCGTGGTGTCGCATGCCTGTAATCTCAGTTACTTGGGAGGCTGAGGCAGGAGAATTGCTTGAACCCGGTAGGCGGAGGTTGTGGTGAGCCGTGACTGTGCCACTGCACTCCAACCTGGGCAACAAGAGTGAAACTCCGTCTTAAAAAAGGAAAAAAAAAAAAAAAAAAGAAAGATAGGGCTTAAATAAGCATTATCAAACCTATGTCTAATAAACACAGGATATAACCTAGGCATTATCAGTGTTTCTAACTAGCGCCATTTGCTCCCAAGATCATGGCTTAAGACACTTGAGAAGAAAAGAGGTTACTTAAAAAGGAAAACCTTTGACAATAAGCAGTTCTGTTCTTGCTTAGTATCCATCACACTATGCTTAAATGGTTATATAACAAGATACATACAAACTCAGAATTCACAAATACCTTTTTTTTCTTATTCTGAGTACTGAAACACAAATACCTTTTTATAATTCAACTACGGACTTCATTGAGTTGGGAAAAAATACATAATTTACTTAAAGTAGCACAGAATAGAATGGAGTTAAAAGTTTCAAATATTCTCAATCACCATTGTCTGTTATCAGAGTCAATGGTAAATGTCTATACAGTGATTACTCTATTCCAAGTTTCAGATATATTCATACCTACCACCCTTCCTTGGTGAGTTTGTGGGGAAGAACTAGCAAATAAGTTACTGACAAAAACTTAGAGATTATATTCATCACAATGTTATCAATCCGGGATTAGGCTGGAAACTAAAAACAGGTAAGGTTACTTGAGACTGAAAATATATGCGGGATCACATACATATTAAAAAGACAGGCCGGGCGCAGCGCCTCAGGCTGGGAGCAGTGGCTCACGCCTGTAATCCCGGCACGTTGGGAGGCCAACCGGGGCAGATTACTTGAGGTCAGGAGTTCAAGACCAGCCTGGCCAACATGGTGAAACCCGTCTCTACTACAAATACAAAAATTAGCTGGGCATGGTGGTAAGTGCCTGTAATCCCAGCTACTCAGGAGGCTGAGGCAGGAGAATTGTTTGAACCTGAGAGACGGAGGTTGCAGTGAGCTAAGATCGTACGGCTACACTCCACCAGCTTAGGCGACAGAGCGTGACTCCATCTCAAAAAAAAAAAAAAATGAGGTGCTAACATAATCAATAATGCTAGCATTTAGCATACTATGAGCTTCATGAGAATGAGAATTTCTGTCTGATATGAGCATTGCTTATCTCCAGCTGCTAAAATAGTGCCTGGCACAAAGTAGGTGCTCAATAAACATTTGTTACATGATTGTAGAAGGTATCTGGCTTAAGGAATAAGACTGATCTAAGTTCAAGTGCTAGCTCCACTTCAAACTGTGACCCTGGTAAGTCATTTAACCTCTCAAACTCTCATTTATTCATTTGTAAAATGAAGATAATAGGATATAACAGACTTGTGGGGAAGATTAAATGAGGTAATGAAAGGAAAGCACTTAGCACAGTGCTTTAAAAGCCTTAAACTTAGTAGACATGCACCGGTAGTCCCTGTTAGCTCCGAAGTTCAAGGCCATGGTGCACCATGATTGTGCCTGTGAACAGCCACTGCACGCGTGCCTTGGCAACAGACAGAGACTCCACTTCTACAAAATAATTTTAAAAATTAACCAGGTGTGGTGGCCTGCTCTTGTAATCCCAGCTATTCCAGAGGCTCAGGTGGGAGGATACCTTGAGTCCAGGAGTTTGAGGTTATAGTGGGCTCTGATTTATTACACCACTGCATTCCAGCCTGAATGACAGAGTAAGACCCTGTCTCTTTAAATAATAATAATAATTAATTAATTAGGAGTGTTGAAACCCAAAGAATCAGAAGATGGGGGCACTCTCAGGACTCAGTTATATTCCTCTAGGGAGTATTATGCCCCATTTGCAAGGGGCATGATGTGGCACCTATTTTCCAAGCTCAGAACTGAGTCTTAAGAGGGGCAGGGAACTTACCTGTATTGTTGGAGCCATACTCCCAGCACTAAGCACAATATGGGGCACACAGGAGGAACTGAATAAGTTTTTGGTGAATGACTGACACTCTGAGGTAATAAGGAGGAGCAGGCATACTTTCCAATGCATCAGGCTGACCCTGCTTTTTTTTTTTTTGAGACGGAGTCTCACTGTGTCACCCAGACTGGAGTGCAGGGGCACAATCTCAGCTCAGTGCAAGCTCTGCCTCCCGGGTTCATGCCATTCTCCTGTCTCAGCCTCCCGAGTAGCTGGGACTACAGGCACCCGCCACCACGCCCGGCCAATTTTTTGTATTTTTAGTAGACACAGGGTTTCACCGTGTTAGCCAGGATGGTCTTGATCTCCTGACCTCATGGTCCACCCGCCTTGGCTGGGATTACAGGCATGAGCCACCATGCCTGGCTGGCCCTGCGTCTTAAGAATGAAAAGGTAGTATAGGTCAGTGGTCTAAGTTCATTCACAAAAAGCATATTAATGAAGTTCATTCACAAAAAGCATATTAATGAAGCTTTTTGTTTGTTTAGAGAAAGGGTCTCAGTCTGTCACACAGGATGGAATGCAGTGAGTGACACAATCACTGCAGCTTCAAACTCCTGGGCTCAAGTGATCCTCCCACCGCAGCCTCTCCAGTAGCTGGGAGGCACAGGCCATCATGCCTGGCTAATTATTTTATTTTTTGTAGAGACAGGGTCTTGCTTTGTTGCCCAGGCTGATCTCAAACTTCTGGCCTCAAGTGATCCTTCCTCCTCGGCCTCCCAAAGTGCTGGGATTACAGATGGGAGCCACCCTGCCTGGCCAAGAAGCTGAGTCTCAAACTGGATAGAAGCTACTGACAGGGCTGGAAGAAGGGGCCACAAGAGGAATCTTAACAGAGGGAACTCTGAGCAAAAGCATGGAGGCAAGAACTTGAGTGAGAGTGTGTGTGTGTGTGTGCGTGTGCGCGTGTTTATGGGCTGTTTCTAATAAGCTTGACTTCTCCTGGAATCACTGAGTTACCTGCTGCCAAAACGTGTCCAAAGATGACCTCAGACACATCTTCTGGAACCACAGTGGCCCTCTTCAAGACTTCTTTGATGACAGTGGAGCCCAGGTCCTGGACAGGAACAGTAGCTAAGGCACCATTGAAGGAACCTGCAGTAGAAAGGCGGAGAGCGCGGACATCACAAACCTGTGGGTAATGTAGAAACCACCCAGGAGCAGCAGGGCCTCATGACGCTGTTTGGCAAGGCCACCGCGAGGAGGCAGTGCCCCTCCTCCCACACGTCCCCACACCTGCTGGTCTGAGCAAAGGTCAAGGTGGGTGCCAGGACTCGCAGTGGCCGAGGGCCAGACAAGCGACCTTCGGAACGGCCTAGGGACGCCGCTGTACCCCTTCTATTTCCCCAAATCCGAAGGACTGGATGCGGCCCCATGGTTCCCAAACAAAAGGAACCGGCGGATCAAGGGCTTTGAAAACCATGTGGCACGAAAGAGACGAAGTCGCGACTTCCAGCCATTGTGTGACAGCCCGACCCCAGCCCAAAGCCCGGCTCAGACCACCTAGCAGTTCCGCCCCTGCCACAGGCATTACCGATGGCGCCTCCCGGAGTCGGCCAATCAGGGGACCCGCAGAAGAACGCCTTCCTACGCCAACCAATGGGAGACGCAGGCCACGCGATGGCTCTACCCTGGGAGCCAATCAGAGCACGAGGGACGGAGTGCGCACATCGGGAGAGGAGAAGGTGGGGCTGTCGCGCCAGGTCAGGGAACGCGGGAGGCCCGGGGTTCCAAGGATCCCGCAGGTCCTCCAGGCTTGGCCTGAGCGGCTTCCTCCACATACGCTCCTCTCCTACACAAGTCCGGCCCTCGGCGCTCCTGCCGAAGCAGCAGGCGCCTTGGACTCTGCGCGAGGCCCGCCGGCCGCTCACCTATGATGGTCCGCGCCGCCGAGACGATGACCACGGGATCTGAGCCTGCATTCATCCTGCCCACGACCGCTTCTCCTGCCGCCGTCTGCCCTGCGCTGCCTGCAAGTTAGGCAAGGCTCCTCCTCGCAGCCCACAGGCCGCGCCACGGGCGGGACCTGAGGTAGCCCCGCCCCCTGCCCCCCACCTCCTCCCGCATCCTACTGTGCGCAGGCGCAAGGCCAGAACCGGGGCGGGCCGGGGGTCGAGGGGCGCAGGGCGGCGGAAGTGAGGTTGGGGTCTGGGGCTGCGGGCAGAACCGGGGACCTCGGACGCATGTGCAGAGCTTCTGAAGACCCCAGTGTTTCTAGACACTCCAGTGTTGGAGTCCCACGTCTTGACGTTTTGGGCTTTTTTGTTTTAAGAGTTTTTCGAAACAGTAAAGAGTGGGGTGTGACAAAAGACTCACTCTCGTTCAGCCCAGGACTGGAATCCCACGGGCGAGAATCTCGAGTGAGAGCCCGGCCCGTGCGGGGCTTGCTGGGAGCGTCTCGGTGCGAGCCCCCGTTGGGCTGGCGCCCCCTGGCCTTCGAAGATCAGCTCTGGCGGTGAAGGGGTGAGGACGCCGGCAGCGTCTTAACGTCCCACAGTGAAAAGTTACCTTGGTTGACGTTTGGACAGTGAAAGGAGCATGTAACAAGTGGGGTCAGTTTTGTTTAAAACCCTTGCTGACTTCCCAGCCTTTTCCTGGGCAAAGTTCATAATTTTTCTGAGCTTTCTAGGGTTCTAGGCAAGCTTATCAGGGCCACCGTTACAGCAACTTGGGAACACCTGGATAGTGGAACAAGAAAACTTGGTCACAAAGTCATGAAGGGGAAAACGGTTGACGGACCTGGAGAATCTTCCTGAAGAACTTTAAAGTAGATTGAAAGAATCATTAAATCCTGGAAACCTACATTAAGACTTTGCAGAGATATGTGGATGAGTCAGATAAATCAGAGAAGATAAACTAGAGTGTACGCCCCAGAGGTGGGGCAATAGAGAAGGAAAAAAGTTGCATAACAGTGCAATTTCAGGAGAAATCTTTAGGGTCTGGAATAGTGGTGAAATCAGCTGCCTCCCCTGCTAAGAACTCAGCAGCATACTTAAGTCTCTTCTTTTCAGTTATCTTGAATGTATTTCCTGTCCCCTAACATATCTGAGTCCAAGGAATTCAAGGAATGCCTCCCGTGGCTTTTGCTGTATTCTATCCCATTTTCCCCTTACTCTCTGGCCACTTCTGAGGCTTTGTGGGGTTACTCTGACATCCCCTTAACATGTTCCCCAAGGCTCCTACTTTGCACCAGCTCCTTGGGTAATACCAGTCCTTCCCACGGCATCAGTCACCACCTGTATACTGACAAGTCTGAAATCTTTACATCTAACCTAGTCTCCTAAACTGACCCTCTTCATTTAAATTCTTACAAGCGCAGCAGGTCGGGCACCCTGGCTCACACCTGTAATCCCAGCACTTTGGGAGGCCGAGGAGGGCGGATCATTTGAGATCAGCAGTTTGAGACCAGCCTGGCGAACATGGTGATATCCCATTTCTACCATAAAATGCAAAAATTAGCCGGGCATGGTGGCGTGCGCCTGTAATCCCAGCTACTGGGGAGGCTGATATAGGAGAATCGCCTGAACCTGGGAGGCAGAGGTTTCAGTGAGCCGAGATCACACCACTGCACTCCAGCCTGGGCGACAGAGAGAAACCGTGTCTCATAAATAAATAAACAAACAAATAAAATTTCCTATAAGCACCTCAAATTTGACATTGAAACCAAACTCTTCCAGCCTGTTTCTTCTCTAATCTCAGTGAGCAGTGTAACTATCCTGTTAACCAAGCCAGAAATTTACCTCTGAAACTCCTCTTAAACATTACTTCTTCTAGAAAAACCTTCCAATCTCCTGGATTTGGTGCAGCATCTTACCCCTAACTTCCTCTTTCAACTTACCATATAATTCCTCGTTTATCTGTCTCCTCTACCAGACTATATAAGCTTTGCAAGATGATCCTGTTACACTGCTTTATTATGAATGAACACCAATACATTCTTTATGGCCAGTGCCTAGCACATTTGAATGAGTATGAATATATTCTTCTGGAGACAAGAAATATATTGTTTCCTGCCTGAAAGCTCTATCTAGAGTAAGTTTAGGAGCAAATCTTGAGAAGGTAATTGCATGCTTCTGTTGAGTGGCCAAACAGCATCTGTTCCCTGAGGGGTCCTCATTATAGCTACTCATATTATTACCTACTTATATGGGCTAGATGGGGGCTAAGAATAACGAATAAAGGAAAGAAGAGGAATTTTTTTTTTTCTTTTGAGATGGAGTCTCACTCTGTCGCCCAGGCTGGAGTACAGTGGCACGATCTTGGCTCACCGCAACCTCCACCTCCCAGGTTCAAGCGATTCTTCTGCCTCAGCCTCCCGAGTAGCTGGGATTACAGGCCTGTGCCACTATGACCAGCTAATTTTTGTATTTTTAGTAAAGACGGGGTTTCACCATGTTCGTCAGGCTGGTCTCGAACTCTTGACCTTGTGGTCTGCCCACCTCCCAAAGTGCTGGGATTACAGGTGTGAACCACCGCGCCCAGCCAGCTGGAAGGTAATTTTAAAAATTACATCTTGGCTGGGTGCGGTGGCCCACGCCTGTAATCCCAGCACTTTGGGAGGCCAAGGCAGGCAGATCACCTGAGGTTGTGAGTTCGAGACCAGCCTGACCAATATAGAGAAACCCCGTCTCTACTAAAAATACAAAATTAGCTGGGCGTGGTGGCACATGCCTGTAATCCCAGCTATTCAGGAGGCTGAGGCAGGAGAATCACTTGAACCCGGGAGGTGGAGGTTGCAGTGAGCTGAGATTGCGCCATTGCACTCCAGCCTGGGCAACAGGAGTGAAACTCCGTCTCAAAAAAAAAAAAAAAAATTATGTCTAGATCTTGAATCATAAATACCTGGACTGGTGAGCAGGGTGAGTGGGCAGGAAGCCACAAAAATCTCCAAGTGCTCATGAGGAGCCACCATTATAGCAGAGCTATGGAGCCAGTTTATCCTGAAGGGGCCTTCTCAGCATCTTCCCCCTCCGCCCCGTGTAAAGATGCAGTCATTCTTGGTTAAGTTTCATAAAGAGTTGCAGGAGTCCAGGCCAGGTCTTAGCCAGAGGCTGGATTCACGAACCTACTATGTAGCAAATTCCTCCTTGGTCTCCATGAGGGAAATAGTGAATCACCAAATTGGATTTGCCATAGGATGGAGGTCAGCAGTGTGCTCCTTACCACTAGGGGTGGCTCAACACTGCCTCAGCACAGCCACCCCATGGTGGGTCCAGATTAGAGTTAATGACATTACCTGGGGCTATGAAAGGTTCACTGTAACTACAGGGATAGGTGAACTCCCAAGACAGTGTTGTAGAGCAGCAGGCAATGATTGAGTACAGGGCATAACTACTCATGAAAAGACGGAACATCTGAGAGACAAAGTTGTCAGAAGGAATGGCTTTACATTGTTTTGCAAAAGTGTCTCAAAAACTGGAGTAGTTAGTTGAATCCAATACAGCTGAGGAGCCAAGGAAACTGACATCTATTGCGCTCTCTGTATGAAGACTCCTACCAGGAACCAAACTGGGGCACCAATCGGGGCACTGTGATCTTAGACTTCCCAGGCTCCAAAAACAGTGAGGAATGAGTGTGTAAAAGCCACCCAGTCTTTTTTTTTTTCCCAATAGCCGCCCAAGCTAAGACAGTAGTAAGTGCTCTTACAGGGGAGAAAAACAAAACATCGAGCCACAAATCAGTTAAGTGTAATGCCAGGATTCAAACCAATTAGATGCAGAAGCCAGTCTATCACCTCTCTTATCATAGTCATACCAGAAAATAAAGCATCCAATTCCAGAAATGAGAAATACTATGTACCACAGCATAAGTGCTCTGAGTTATTCATCAAGGCAGACTCAACAGAAACATGAAAATGTCACATTAACAGGTCAATATTAAATTCAGTCATAAAATTATATCACTGGTTGAAAAATTTAATTTCCTGTCACAACTCATGATTACACCAACAGGGCAGAGAAATTCCATTTTTGTTTAAATTGGTCAAGTTGAAGGATGTACATAACAAAAGCCACAATATTTGATATATCAAACACCAAAATGTTTAATCATATGCAAATACAGGATTTTTTACGCACTCGAGCACATTGTAGAAAAGGTTAATCAAGGCAGGGCACGGTGGCTCATGAGGTCAGGAGTTTGAGACCAGCCTGGCCAACATGGTGAAACCCCGTCTCTACTAAAAATACAAAAATAAGCCAAGCATGGTGGCATGTGCCTGTAATCCCAGCTACTCAGGAGTCTGAGGCAGAATTGCTTGAATCCGAGAGGCGGAGGTTGCAGTGAGCCGCGATGGTGCCACTGCACTCTAGCCTGGGTGGCAGAGCGAGACTCTGTTGCAAAAAACAAAAAACAAAAAACAGAAAAGAAAAGGTTAATCAAGAGACAGTACAGTATTTAATATACTTCTGAAGACCGGACATACCTGTATCAGCTAAACAAGCAAACGCAGCAGTTACTTTCAAATAAGTTGTACCTCAGTTTTCAAGTATTATAATTCCACTTCCAGGGTTCCTGGATTGTATTACAAGTTATGTCTAAAACAATACTTTTTATGTTTTAGACATAACAATACTTTTTATGTCTAAAACAATACTTTTTTCTTTTAGCAGAAATGGAATTTTATTTCAACCATATATGAAAGCTACACATTTTTAAGGCCATTCAATATCATAGACTTTATACTTAATTACCTCTGAGAAAATGGAGCAAACTTTGAGATTCTTCCACCTTAAAAACATTCTCTCCTACCTACATTCTAACACCCCTTACTCATGTAATATTACCCGGTATGTTGTTAGTAAAAATCAGTAGTACTGGCAAGTGTTTTAAAACAAACATCACTAACTACAAAGATACTCTACTTGAAATCAGGTCACAAAAAACAAATCCTGCTTTTCAATTAAAACTCAAAAAGGGCCAGGAGCTGTGGCTCGCTCCTGCAATCCCAACACGTTGGGAGGCCAAGGCAGAAGGATCCCTTGAGGCCAGCATGTGCAACACAGCAAGACCTTGTCTCTACTAAAAATAAAATAAATGTAGCTGGGTGTGGTAGTGTATGCCTATAGTCCCATGTACTCAGAAGGCTGAGGTGGGAGGATCACTTGAGCCTAGGACTTGGAGGCTGCAGTGAGCCATGACTGCACCACTGCACTTGAGTCTGGGTGACAAAGTGAGACCCTGTCTCAATTTAAAATAAATAAATAAAAATTAAAAAACCCCTAATAAATATTTGGATGACTATTTTCCTTATACTTCTCTGTATTTTCAAATATTTTGTAACAATTATGTCAAGAAAAAATTTTAAGTGTAGACCTAAACTCCAGCTCCATTTTGCAGAATAAGGCATAAATTAAAAATTAAGTGCAAAATCAAAATCGATGCTTAGTCTTAAGTTTCACTGTTGTAGTACTTGAAAGATAATGAGTAGCAATTCAGTGACTCAGTGAAAAATCAATGACAAATGCTAAACAGACACCCAAAACAAAACAAAAACGCTAATTAAGGAGTTACAATAAAAATCTTTATTTAGGTTTGGTCAGTACAGGTAAGATATACTGGAGTCACAGAGCAATATGCATTAACAGGATACAACAGTTCATAAAAACTGAGTAACTATGCACACAAATTTCTTAAACATTCAGTCACCTAAAGAGAAAATGCACAGATGTATGGTGGAAAAAACTGTATCTAACACTGAAACTACTACAGGACTCCATCAATGAGTCCAACTTTTAGTGATAAAAAACTACTGTACTGGGCAAACTTGGCAGTCATAAACCCACATCTACTCTAACAAGTCT